TGGACATTTAGGCTCTTTCCATAATTTGGCTATTGTTGAGGGTTATACAGCCATTTTTTAAGAATAGTGTCATATTAAAGGACAAAGCAACCAGGTTTGTGTTTCTAATGTGATTCAATATAAAGTTCAAAATGTCACCTATGTAGTATTTTGTCCAGAAATATTTAACTTGAATCTAATCAAATCTTGATAGCTAATTTTCAATTTGAAGAAAGATACAAGGAATAAGTTAAATCACATCATGAGAAAATAATCAGGCAAATCTGAGATGAAGGACATTCTACAAATTGACTGGGCATGCAATTCAAAAAGTAAGGTATAAAGGAAGAAAAAAAAGCAGGCAAACTTTTCTATATTAAAATAGTGTGATATAACAACCAAATGCAATGACTAAACCTCAATTAATTGAGTTTTGACTCAATATAAAGGACATATAAAGGACATTTTTGGAACAACTGGAAAAATTTAAATATGGATTAGATATTAGAGATTATAATAATATTAATTTTCTTAAGTGATAAGAATATTGTGGTTATGAAAGAGAATGTCCTTATTCTTAGAGATGCATGCTAAGGTATTTGGAGGTAAAATGTCATGATGTCTATGTGAAACTTTCAAACGAAACAGAAAAAATAATATATATAACACTAAGAGAAAGAGAAAGCAAATCTGACAAAATGTTATCAAACACTGAACCTAGGTACAGAGTATCTGAATGTTCATTGTGATCATATTTCTGTTTTTCTGAGTATATGTAATTTTTCATAATGAAGCACTGAAAGAAAAAAGAATGGAAACAAGACAAATTTTTATTGTTTAACTTTTTAAGTAAGCTTTACACCCAACGTAAGGCTTGAACTCATGACCCTGAGATCAGAAGTCACATGCTCTACTAAATGAGCCATCCAGGTACCCCAAAAGACACATGTTTAAAAAGAATGAATTTAAGCCATCCCAACAGATATAAAAGAATGTCCACGTTGTACTGCTGAATGATATCACAAATCTGCTCACGCAGAAGTGTATTATGATCCCATTTTTTAGAAAATAACTTAATTACCTTTGTAAGTATGTGTTTAGATTCACATACACTTTTATATGTAATAATAAACATGGGGAAAAGTATGGAAGAATATCCAGCAGATTGCTAACATGTTTACTGAAAGAAGAGAGGTAAGAGGGGCAGAAGCTAAGATGGCGGTAGAGTGGGAGGAACTTAGGTTTGCCTCGTCCCTCAAACACAACTAGATAACTATCAAATCATTCTAAATACCCAAGAAATTTACCTGAGGACTGAAAGAAAACACTGCACAACTGGGGGGGGGGGGGGGGGGGGGGGGAGGCATACTGAGGAAGGTAGGAAGCCCAGAGAAGTGGTTTGGGGTTGAAAAGGACTGCAGGTGCTGGGGAAGGGAGGGAGCCCTGGTCATAGAGAAAGACAAGAGAGTGGAGTGAACAGGAATAAGCACAAGGAGAATACTTCCCCAAAGCCATTGGCTGGGAAAACAAAAGGGGCTGATTTTCATGAGTTTTTGCAAATAGCAGGGCTCAAAGACTGGAGTTTTGGAGCCCTGTGGGCTTGGCTGGGATAGAGACCTGAGGGCACTGCCCTACTTCTGGAGAGAAGTCAGGCAAGCAACCCCAGGGCAGACAGTGCAATCTGAGGATTGCCTAGAGCACATGGAGGGAGACCGTTCCCTCTTCTTGGAGGTATCTGTGACAGGTGCCATTGCCTCTCTGTGAACAAAGGAGTTAGTGAGTGTCATTTCACTCCTCCATCCCTCAGCATAAGTGCAGAGGCACCGACTGAGGGTGGCTAACTGGGAAAATGGCTGTTTAGCCTGCTTCGGTCCAAATCCCATGCCGCTGCATGCTGTCGTGACTACCCTTCTGGGTCAAACCTGCATCTGTCCCAGCACAGTGAGACCCTCACCCGGAAGATCAATACAGGCCCTGCCACACCAGGTACCTAAAGTTTGGAGTTTTAAAAGTCAGCAAGTTTGGCTGTGATAGAGCCCAAAGTGCACAGCACTGTTCCAGACAAGCAAGCAAGCAACCTGGAGACAGTGTGAAAACAGCAATCTGAAAAACACCTAGGATGCATGAGGGGAAATAATGCACTCTACTGGGAGGGCTATCCTGAGGACAGCAAGCATGGGATCCCCTCTCTGGGGAAAAAGGTGCTGGCTGGTGCCATTCCCCCCCACCCCCCTCCCCACCCCTCAGCATAAACCAACTTCAGTAAATACCACAGTGTCAACACTGTCTGCTTAACCTGATTACAACAGGTCCCC